ACGGGTTGAAATAGGGCAGTAAATGCTACATGAAAAAGGAGAGTATAAGAAAACTAAGTCCTCATGTCAGATATGAGAGGTTTTATTAATCTGAAGGTGGTTCAGAATAACTTTCTCTGTTAATGTTGGTCACACTTGCTGCAAATACAAGATGGCTTCAAATGGAAACCTTCAAAGTGTGATATAAATTACATTTAAACCTTTAAAGTGTGATATAAATTATAGTAACCATGTCATTTTCTTGTAATTGTCAATATTGTTAAAGATGTAAAGAGTGTTAAGTACATAATATTACGGACGAACATGGTAATGTTATAGTGACACTCTATATGGCCACCCCACTTCTCACATGTACCAAAGAGGAGCAGCATTATATTAATTTGCCACTTTGAGAGGAGGAGTAGCATAGTGGCTGGATGCTCACCTGCCAGCTAAAAGATCTTGGGTTTGAACTCACACTGTGACAGATTTTTTTTTTTTTAAATTGACTTTGCTTCCATATCAAGCACTTTACTCCAATATCAAGCACTTTGCTCCCATTTCAAGCACTTTGCTCCCATATCAAGCACTTTGCTCCCATATCAAGCATTTTGCTCCCATATCAAGCACTTTGCTCCCATATCAAGCACTTTGCTCCCATATCAAGCCAGCCTAAAATGTGTAAGAGGTAATGTCCTGTGAAGTAGTAGTGGCTAGCTTGATGTTGATCACCCACCATGACCTTATAAACATATGAATCTAGCCCTATATACCTGATGCTCCACTGGTGTGAAGGTCCTTGACTTACTTTTGTACCAATCATCTTTCTGTTGACCTCAGAGGCTCTGTTCCCCCCCCACAAAATTTTAAAGGTTATTTCTATTTCCTGTGTGGGTTCCATTGTGGAAACAACAAGAATAGACCCACTGCCTTCCAAACAAGCATGTCGTAGGAGTCAACTTCTTTCAAAGTCGGAATGTATCTGCCAGAGTAGTAAGGAGCACACAAAACACAGGCTGTGGCACAGAGCCAAAGTCCAAGTAGACGAACAACCAGGACTTTCTGCCAGAGCTTTCAGTCGGTGAACAAAGAAGAAGGAGAAGAGATTATTTCTGTGAAAGCATAAAAACTGTGACAGAACTTACAATTAGCATGCCATTGTCTTGTAACCTGTCAGTACTGTTGTTAAGGATGTCAAGAGTGTCAATCACTCTTCTTATGTTTTCTTCTTATGTTGGCTCTTAACAGGGTGATTGGCATGTTTTAGTTTAAACTTAGGCTGCAATATTTGCACTTTTCAACACAACACATTTGACTTCAGCATGCCATTATATTTCCATACTTTATTGTTAAAGGGACGGTGTATATGTATAACTATGTATAATGCTCATATCATAGAGATAAAGAGCAGAAAATTTTAAAATCAAGAACATCTTATGCAATAATCCATTTCATCGGAAGTTGGACAAAGAATACTTGCATGCAATAAAATGCCAGTTTTAACATATGGCTGAAAATGCTTGAGAATCAGTAAATAAGCCAAACAATTTCTTGAGACCTCAGAGATGTGGTTTTAAAGAAGTATGCTTACAATTTATTGCTGAGCCAAAATGAGTAATCCAGATGATGCAACTCATCACAAATATCATTATTATTTTTCCTAATCATGTTATGAAAAGAAGGAAACTGAAACATGTTGTGATAACCATCACAATTTGTAAAAAAAAATAGAGAAAGACAACTTGAGAAGATTTTTGATATCTTTTTGACAAGGCATGTAGGGGTGTCACCACATGAACTGATACTTGCTTTTTGGGGATTGCAGGTTGTAGAGAAGCATGAACACCCATGCCAGCTTGTATGACACTTGATGATAATGATCTGTTCTCAGTAGTTTTTTTTTGTTAAAAATCAAGCAGTTGTTAGTTTTTCTGTAAAATCCTTACCTGCACAGTTCATGGCTACAGCACTAGCCATGCAGCCCTAGCCCCCCCCACCCCCCCCACCCCCCCCCCTCCCCCCACCCGTAAGAGAGGTAATAAGACAGGCAGTATTTAAAAAAAAAAAAATGTTTACCATCGAAGATGTTGATTACATTTCTGTGTTTGCCCTCTAAAGGTTTGATAGCACCTTGTGGTTTACATCTAGGCTGCGACATCTACACCTTTCAGCCCATCAATTTCAGTAAAGCCTTAATTAGTTGTCTTTTACCACTTGCTTGTTAAGAAGGCAGGGGGGTCTAAAGTTTTTCCTTGAAATGGGGCTTCCACATACATCCAGGAAGCTACATACAAATACAGCATTTAACTCTCCATACAATTATAAGTTCCTGCCTAGATGCCTGATTAAAGTAAGATATGCTGATTTTATGTCTCTCTTGTCTACCTCTTGGGCCAGTGATGCTAAACCCACTAGGACTCAAAGAGTTAAACACAGTGATGCTAAACCCACTAGGACTTAAAGAGTTAAACACATATAATAGTCATGAAGCTTACCATCATCAAGGACTGACTGAAGTGTTGTTTCAAATTCTTTTTCATCCTCATCATTCTCTGAGAGAGTGATGAAGTTGGAAGCTGATGAAGAATTGTGAAGGGAATGCAGGTCATACGGATGTTCTGTAGACCTGTGATAAAAGGTAGAACTTTAATAAATTAATGAATGAGAAAATGGTGGACACCAGCTAAGCATTCAACACATATAGGGAACAGTTTTGGTGAATTTATATAGATTCAAAACCGCGTTATATACCATATTTACGCATGTAGAGGCAGCAGTATTTTAACCAAAAATCATTGGTGAAAGATAGGCTATGTTTATATTCCAGACATTAGGCCTACATATCAACAACAAAATTCATAATCTGTTTAAATCACAATTGATCACTGGCATCATGAGAGCTAATAGACTGAAATGGCTTGGGCATACTGAGAGAATGTCAAATGAAAGAGAGGTAAACACTGTATGCGCAAGGGAGATGAATAGTCATAGACCACGAGGCAGACCAAGAAGACGATGGAGAGATAATGTCTAGACAGACCTGTAAACACTTGGTGTCACCAACTGGAAAGAGAAGGCCAACCAGAGAGATGAGTGGAGGCAGGTGATATCTGCAGTAATGAACATCAAGGGCTGGGAATGCTGAAGAAGAAGAAGACCTACATGTCACTTGTATAAAGTGTATTACTAGATGGGAGTTTCATCTGCATTTCAAATTGCCTTCATGCTGTAGTTGTGTATATTCTGGAATTTCAGACCATGTCTTTGAAATACAATTTCTCCTGATAACTGTTGGGAAATCGCTGGGCCATTGTTGTCAATTACTGAATCACAAGGTCATTTCAAGCCATAAGTTCCTTATCCAGCTATAACTGGCTTTAAATTTACTCTAAGGAATTCTACTAACTTATAATTGATGCACTTTAAACTGTAACATTCCCACGGACACAAAAAAACCAATCTGGCCATATTTCCTTGACATGTTCCAGCAGATTGGTTTCTACTTCCGGGTATTCTTGCCTCAAAAAGATTGTCAATTTAGAATGTTTTTTTCAAGAGCATCTTATATTTCAGTCAATCTTCGAACATTTTTCTCATCAACATTGAACTTCTTCCCAGTTATTCGGTTTCCATTGTCTTGTGCATAACACACTACCTGTAATTTATATTTCCACCTGTAATTAGTTCTTAAGCGGCTTATATTTCCCTGCTTACAGGTACCAATGTTTCGGTTTTGGTCTCTTGTCAAAATCCTAAAAAGATTTTTTTCCTACAAATTACCTAGACACATGTGCGACATATAGACCATAAATACTGTACTCTAATTTCTTATATCATTTAAAATTTAACACATGCCAGTGAGAGTTGGAGAGCCATAGGGGCATTAAATGAAAGTTACACACATAAACAAATAAAAGCATAAAAAAAGTTTATGAATGTTAAATGGGATGAATTCAAGAAAAGTAAAGAAATAAAAGAACTGTCTAGTACAAAGCTGATTTGTGTAGTTTTGAGACAAAGATGATGGCAAAAAAATTGGGCACATTTTGAGGAGAAGTAGACAGAGAATCATCAAGCAGGCACTGAAATGGGAAACTAATGTATTCAGGAAGCAAGGGAGCCCAAAAGAAACCATAAAGTGAATGCTGATGAGAGAAGCTAAAGGTGCCAGACTGGATTCCATCCATGATATGGACATGACTGCACAGGATAGAACAGAATGGAGGAATAGACTGCGCGCCCTATATGATGTATGAATGGCACAGCAGGATGATAGTGATGGTGAAGGTGAATGGTGATTTGAGTCGGCATCTGTAACATAGTAATTTTCTAGTTCATTCAGTTACTGGTGTACCAATTGGAGCAGCGGGACAGGAAAGCCATGCAGAAGCCACACATCGTTAAATCAACCAGAACAGAAAGCGAGCTGTTAACCTAAAAACACTTAGAGACATGCACAGGAGGAGATTAGAGCACTTATTGTCATGTGCCATGAAGATGATATTTAAATGAACAATGAACAGTCATATGTTTCCGGAATCAGTGTTGTCTTAACGCATGGGCTTGCTGAGCACTTGCCCAGGGCCATAGGCGCATAAGGGCCCCTATACTAATCTGTGAATGTCAAGTGACCATTTACATCTCATTCCTGTGAGTGGTTGTAGCGGTTCCAGCACACTGGGAAATTTGTATGTAAATTATTGCCATTTTATTTAAAGTCGATAGGAAAAATGGACATGTTTAGATAGTTGCTGCTAAATAATTACTCTTTCAATGTTACAGTTTTTAATAACAGATGCCTAATGGGGGAAAATAGGCAGGGTGGAAATTTATTAAAATAGCTATAGTGGCCACTGGAATAACATTTCTTCAGTTTGCTTGAGCTATGTGTTAAAAAGTCAGAGAAAACAGCTCGAGTCAGATGCAAACCATCAGAGAAAATGTTATTAAGTGGCTAGTATAGAAGAAAGGAGCTATTAACTCATCATCATCATGCATATAATTTATTTTATTTTTCAAACACATACTCTTGTTTTCTTCTGAGGTGCTCTGCTTTGAAAATCTTACACATTTCTTTGGTAGACTCCTCCCCACGTCTGCCAGCCAGCCAGTAGGTTTTCATCTCCCCTTTGCCCTGGAAGTACAGAGGATACATGTTGTCAGGGATGTTGCCCCTTTATTGGTGTCTAGATATCTCTTGTCGGTTCTGGGGCCCCATTGTAGGGAAAACAAGAACAGACCAACTGCCGCCCCCATCAAAAAAGAAGCATGTAGAAGGAGTCAACTAATTGGGGACTGTATCTACCTGAGAGGCCAGGTACCAAGAGTCTGCATACAAACAAGTCAGTTCTCTAAAACAGATGTACACGCAACACTTAGGTTCTAGAACCAGACTAAAGTCCAGAAGTGGATGAACAGTCACAACTTTCTGCAGGAGTTTACAACCGGCGAATGTGAAAAAGAAAAAAACAAATGAGAAGAAGAAGATGTTTGGATGGTCAGGTGATTGATTACACAGTTAGATGGACAGTCAGGTTGATAACATATTGGATTTTTAAAAACTTGGCAAAGTGGCTTCAAGTCATTTGCCTCGTGTTCTGAAGGTGGCGCCATTCCCTTTCAGGAACAGTTTTGTACGGAGACCTTTGAGGATCATCACGGGAGCTATGTAGTTTGGGTTTCGTGTGACACTCTTGGCAGGCTACTAGCTCTTCCACGGAGGGAGACTGAACTAAATGGGATAAAACTGAGTGCAATGAAGTCAATCCTCTCACCTTTAACCTTTGTAACAGACACTTTTAAAACATGTGGTTAGCCAGGGATCAAGTTACACGTGGTTGTCCACTTTGGCAAGTGAATAGGGAAGAAGCAGAGAAAACAAGAAGGAAGAAAACAAAATGATAATGATCAAAAGGTTATAAGATAAAATGACAACATAGAGAAAAAGTGTAAGAAGTTGCAGAAAAGGGGGAAAAAAGTACAGTGTTGGTAATAAAGCAACAGCAGGAGAAGAGGTATGAATACAGGGGAAATGAAGAAAGAGAAATATTTGGAAGTGAAGGAGATGTGCTATTTTAGCTGGCTGTGAGCATACTCAGTCTTGTCCGTTTTATTTTCATATTCTGTTTCTGTGATTAATCTGTGCAGTAATCTATCCTCAGACTAAGTTGAATTGAGTTAACAACCCACATTACAGGACTTGGCATCTCCATAAGCGTGCCATACCCATCTTCAGCAGCCAGCGCAGACTTCCATTTCCAACAGTACTAGTAGTAGTCTGATTGTTATGTCCACCTTGCCTGTCCACTGAGCGTCAGCCACATCCACTGGTCACTTCCCATAATACCATTCTCTCCAGATCGTGATAATCTATTTGTGCCTTCACACTCGCTCCCAAATTGCCTTGATACATCCAGCTTGTAATGCATCAGTGTACCACCAGATGATGCACAACAATCCATTATGAAATTGGTTCATTCTTAACACACCTGTGTACCTGAGAAAATAACCTAACTGCGCAAACTACCTGTCACCTCTGAAGCTTAGCTTGCTACCATGCATGGAAAGAGAGCATATCTGTCTTCTCATCATGTCTGCACAGTAGTCTGTCTATTTCCACTCAGTACCAGCCTGCCTATCTGCACTTTCATTTCTCATAACACCTGTTCAGATTTGAACACAACACATTTTTTTTAACCTCAGCAGGGATTCAGTCCAGTAACTCATATTAAGAAGTAACTGTCAAAGTAACGTTTTTTTCACGTCTGTTTAGCTGCCATTATCAAAATACAAAGATGACAATGTCACAAAAAAGGTGCACTCACTTTGACATGTATCCTTCCTCTGTACACGGTCACAAACTCTGTTCCTTTCAAGCAGTCATGACAAGGTTCAGTGAGGTGTATCCTGCCTGGCTGTGAACACAAATAGTAACTACATATTTATATATAGAGTTGGTGCCACAGTACAAATAGTAAATATATGTTTTTATGTAGAGTTAGTGCCAAAACACAAATAGTAAATATATGTTTATATACAGAGCTGGTGCCACAGCACAAACTGTAAATATATGTTTACATGTAGAGTTGGTGCTACAACACAAACAGTAAATATATGTTTGTTGGTGCCTTAACACAAATTGTAAATATATGTTTACATGTAGAGTTGGTGCCACAACACAACAGTAAATATATGTTTATTTACAGAGTTGGTGCTACAACACAAATTGTAAATGTGTGTTTACATGTAGAGTTAGTGTTACAACACCAATAGTAAATAAATGTTTTTATGTAGAGTTGGTGCCATGGCTCAAAAAGTAAATATATGTTTATATATTGAGTTGACGCGACAGCAAAAATAGTAAATATATGTTTTATACAGAGTTGGTGCCACAACACAAATTGTACATATATGTTTATTTGTAGAGTTGGTACCACAACACAAATAGTAAATATATGTTTATATGTAGGATTGGCGTCACAGTTTGTGTCATATATTATTTGATTAGATTAGATAGTACACCATGCAGACATCATAAGGAGAATTCGGAGAATGCACTATGGAAACCCAAGAAATGGTTCTTCTTTTCTAAAATTCCTCTTCACCAGATAAGGGTTTAAGCAAGAAGATAATTGCCAGGGATAAACAAATTATCATTCACCATAAAGGATATCAAAAGTCTATGCTACAATGGGGCATAGAAGGTGAAATAATGGACTTCAATAGCTAGAGATACGTGTCATACCTCACTGTTGGTCTGCATCCTGGCAGCTGTGTTCACTGTATCTCCAAAGAGGCAATACTGGGGAGTCCTTTTGCCCACAATTCCTGCCACAACACTTCCTGCATGCATGCCTGCGGGAGAGAATTATCTGGCATAAATCCAGACATAACAGATAATCCTTGCAGCTGGGGTCGAACCCGACACCGTGGCATTACAAAGAGCTTTCACAACGCCTAAGCCACAGACACTGACATATATAACTAACATGGATACAATCACCATTATCACTGAACAACAGGTCCTTTACAGAACGTCGCTCTGATCTGCCTGAAGGAAACTCAGTCTCTCGCCAGCTCTACCACTCTTCTACCCAAGGTGTCACATATACTCTGTGCCCATCTTCGTGCTGGTCGGCCCCCGCCATTCTTTCCTTGTACCATGCCTTATGCTATCATTTTTTTTTTAATCAGTGGCGGATATGGCCAAATGTATTTCACTTTATGTAAAGATATACGCTCTGAAAATTTTGACTTTGATTTCCTTGCTTGCGCCTCGCCATATATTTTTAATGCTGTAATTTGTATCAAGTAAAATAATGACATTCACAGTATAATAATTTAGATACATGCGTAATAACTGTACCTATTCTAGCTTGCATGCCAGCTCCAGTAATAGGGTTTTTGACATACATGGCGTTCTCGATCAGTTCTAGAGCCAGCCCGGCCACTTTCTGGGCGTGGTCACTGCATCGGTCAGGGACACCTCCGGCCACCATGTAGACGCCATCACCAAGAGTCTCTACCTACAGACATAGGGTCATCACATCATCAGTCAGAACATCATCAGTCAGAACATAACCTGTCAGCACATCATCAGTCAGCACATCATCAGTCAGCACATCATCAATCAGTACATCATGAGTCAGCACATTATCAGTCAGCACATCATCAGTCAGACACATAATCAGTCAGCATGTCATCAATCAGAACATCATCAGCACATCATCAGTCAGCACATCACCAGTCAGCACATCATCAGTCAGCACATCACCAGTCAGCACATCACCAGACAGCACATCATCAGTCAGCACATCATCAGTCAGCACATCATCAGTCAGCACATCATCAGTCAGGACATCGTCAGTCAGCACATCATCAGTCAACATATCATCAGTCAGCACATCATCAGTCAGCACATCATTAGTCAGCACATCATCAGTCAGCACATCATCAGTCAGCACATCATCAGTCAGCACATCATCAGTCAGCACACATCAGTCAGACACATAATCAGTCAGCACGTCATCAATCAGCACATCATTAGTCAGCACATCATCAGTAGGCACATCATCAGTCAGCACATCATCAGTCAGCACATCATCAATCAGCACATCATTAGTCAGCACATCATTAGTCAGCACATCATCAGTCAACACATTATAGGTCAGCACATCATCAGTCAACACAAAACCAGTTAGCACATCATCAGTCAGCACATCACCAGTCAGCACATCATCAGTCAGCACATCTTCAATCAGCACATTATCAGTCAGCACATCATCAGTCAGCAACTCGACTTGTTTAACTAACCACTCTGCCAGTTGAAGTAATCTTTTGTTTAGAAGACAGTATTAATCCTTGCTTGAATGACTGTTTGTCGGCGTCTGTGCTTAGGCGCTGCAAACGGGCTTCGTAATGCCGGGGTGCCGGGTTCGATCCCAGCTGCGGGCCTTGCGTTGGTTTCGACAGTGAATCAAGAAGCCGACCGTCCAGAAGCAATGGCAAAATACTGGACGTAAATTTGTCAAGAAAAACCAAAACAGCCAACAAATGCTGGTGTTGGTTCTGCAATGTCCTGTAAAGGATACGCAACTAACTTTTTGAATAACTGAGTTAACCATATTTTATGTTACCGCGGCTTACAACATAACCATGGACCCATAAGGATGGTGTAGATGTATCAATGTAAGACTTAACGCACAAAACTCGCCATCTTTTCCTGTCTTCCGCTTGTTGAAAAAAATGTATAATAATTTAGTTTTTATCACTTTCCTGTTGTCCTGTGAATTTCTTTATGGCTAACATAGCTATTATGTTTTATGTTATGTTATGTTTTAAACAGATAATTTGTGAACTTAATCTATAGAATTAACGTTCAGAAGCCTGAATCCTCCTTTCTATTTTTGCAGTCTCACTCTCACATCCTATAAGAGAATAGACAATACCAGTGATCTTTTTAAACTGACTTTTACTGCTATGCTGATTTTGCTTTTCCGGTTAGTATTCAGCTGGTTTTGTCCTTATCTTGTTGGTATCATTGCGGATGTGGAAGACGAGGTATTTAAAGGTTTTATCTTCTTCTAGTTTCTCTCTCTTTTATCTTAACGCATCGGAACGTCGTGGGGGATTGGACTCGGTAGACTGGTCTGAGCCCCTGGTGGAAAAAAAGCTTTTCATCCCTAAAAGCCAAAGTGCCCGATAAATGTCTTCCAATGTTATTCTGCCAATTTTTAAAGTCTCAACACCTGTCCGATGAACCAACTACAAGCTTGTCACTCTGATCGTGAAGGTAATCAGCTAATTTGCTACTGCAGCGACAATATATATTACACCAAATCTCACGGTACCTATTGCAAAGTCAACATTTTGTCTTCTACCTTTCCGAATGTCCAATAAAGCGCAGCAGGAGAAGATCGAGGCCTGGCGTCATGAACCAGGTCGACCCACCTTCCGAGATTGTATAGGAAGTAACTGGCCGAAACAATCCTCGACGAGGGATCTTTCTATTGATGATCGGTGGACCCCTGCTGTGCATGCCCCCCCCCCCTTTTCCCCTTGGAGTTCTTATTATTAAATTTGTATGTTGGTAGATATTTGGTTATTGTGGCTATTTACCAATATATTGCTTTTCTCGGCATTAATTTTCATGCCATATTTATCAAGGTCTGTCCCAGGTCTCTCTCTGGAGATAATATGTAGCCCTGTCTCACATCAAGTTTTGAACATTTTCCTAAGTCATTTTGTATGGACTCTGCTTGCATCTTTATAAAGTGCTTCAATGGTTTCTACGTTGTTTTTGTCGAAGCTGAAATTCCTCGTTATGCGCCACACACGGTCAAGTGCCTTCGGGAAGACAATAAAGTTGTGGTATAGGTCGCATTTACGTTGTAAGTGTTTTTCTATCATTGCTCACATGTTAACGATTTGTTCTGTAATGCTTCTATATTTCAGGAAACTGGCATGTTTTTTGTTGTTGTTGTTGTTGTTGCTAGTATTTCTTCAGATTTATTTTTAACTTTTATGAAGTATCTTTAACATAAGATAACATTTGATATGGTTTAACTGATAATAATTTTAATCTTAGCAAACCAGCCTGTTGAATTGGTAACAGTTTTACTCTTAGTTAACTAATCAGTTGAACTGATAGCAGTTTCACGCTGAATTGACGCAAATGAACTAGTTGAACTGATCAGTCACTGCAACGTAACTGCTTGGATTAACCATATGAAATGATGAGAATCTAAATAATCGTTTTAGTAAATCTCTCTGGCTGCCTCTCTCTCTCTCTCTCTCCTTCTCTCTCTCTCTCTCTCTCTCTCTCTCTCTCTCTCTCTCTCTCTCTCTCTCTCTCTCTCGCTCGCTCACTCGCTCACAATCCCTCTCTCACACATACACACATTACATATATATTTAGTACAGTCAGAGTTTTTTTTGCACATAGTTGAAATGACAAAATGGCGTACCTTGAAGAGATCGTATTTGTCCACAATATTATCAAAGACTTCTGTGACATTCTGTATACACTCGACCACTTGCATGGGGCTTCCTTCTGTGCATATATCAGAAAATCCAACAAGATAGCTGAACAGGATGGTCACCTGTTGGAAGGTCTGTAAAATACAAATGTGTCCATTATTCCACACAAGAGAGTCCCTTGTAATGCCATGTGATACACGTTAAAAAAATGTTTGTTGCGTAGCTTTTACAGGACGTTGCAGAACCAACGCCCAGCTTTAAAAAAAACTGTTGCGAGTTTTCTAGGCACTTTTTATGTTCAGTAGTTTGCCATTTCTTTCTTGATGGTCAGCTCTTGGTACTACTTGGTACTAGCGCAAGAAGGTCTGCGACCTAATCACCTGCAGCTGGGATCGAACCCGGCACCCTGGCATTACGAAGCGCGTTCGTAACGCCTAAGCCACAGCCTCCGACCTGCTATATAAGGTATTTACTAAAAACGGACAGAGACGTTGATCATGAGGCAAACCAAAAACAAAATAGAAAGATAACATCAGAGAAACTCTCCAACAGTACGAAGAGTGTAAATTACAGTGTGCCTGAGGAACACAAACCAAAACTCCGCATTTCCTTTAACACCCAGGGCAGTTTAAAAAAAATGCAAAACAGAAGAAAATGTGACCAAATAGCAGTGACAAGCTACAAGGCAAAAGTCTCTGAGAGGCTACATAAAGCAGAGGTCTGTTTAAATGTATTCTTACTTAATGGCAAACTTCCACCCCCTCCCCCTTCCCCTCCTTTCATCCCCAACGTCTTGGACAGTGAGACTGAAGACCTAAGAAGAAAAATATGGATATTGATGACGATAATGATGATGATGATAATGAAAAGGATTAGAAAAAGAGGTTCGGGACTGAGAGGGCGAGAAGAAGAAGAAGAAGAATGAGAAGATGGAGGAGAGAATGAAGCAAATGGAGAAGATGACGTACAAAGGGAAAAAAAGGATTATTTTCCCGGACACTTCGCAGTTTACACAACACTTTGGCTGTCACGACAGCAACAAGGTGTTGACATCACTTGCTGTCAGAAACTGCTTCATACCTCACACGTGTCCAAGGGATCAACTCCACGCTTGAGACGGTCAGCTATGCTCTTGGTCAGCATAGAGTTGATGAGGTTCTCGCTTTGTTGCCTTGCTTTGTCCAGTTTCTGTAATGTCTCCTCGATCTGTTTGGACCATGCTATTTGCTGGAGGCAGAGACGAACATCAGATAAAGCCAAAAAGAACTATTTTTAGCTACTTCTGCGCTATCTGTATCAAACACAAATCTTTACTAACACTGCTTAGCGCAAAATCATAACACAAAGGGAAACAATTAAAAATGAAGAAATTATAAGAAGGCGAGAACTGAAACCAATCAAACGGTTCCTATTCCAATTCCTTTCAAGAAAAAATCAAAACCTTAACCACGTTCAGCCTGCTGCTAGCTTGTCGAAGCTGCCAACAGTCTCCGGCTATATTTGTGGTCTTTGTGCTTAATGCTTCTTTTCTCCAAGTCAGACCACTGCTGATAATCTTGTCACCTCTTTGAGAGATGCAATTTTTGTTATTTGAAACTCTACTCTGGCTCTTGCTAGAGGCCGCAAGGACCCTATTCCACGCCTTTAGGTATAAAGGGCATATTGGGCTAGGCGTATATTTTATAGACCAATCAGCACAAGATGATGTCAGCATCACGCCGACCGCCTTTACTACCCGTGACTGCCAGTACCCATTCAAGGCTGGGTCGACCTGGGAGCCAAGGTCATTTTTGACAAAAGTCCGGCTACGCCAGGGAGCGAACTTACGACCGTCCGATCCGCAGGCGAGCGTCTGGCCGCTAGACCACGGCGACTCCCAACATATAAATGTAAAAGAAAGAACCCTTTCCCAAGCTGTGATAGCCTTATATTGTCCTTTAAACCGATATTTACTCATTGATTGACACAGTCAAAATTACGCGGCCACCTTTACTTTTCATTACACTTGTGTATATTATTATAAGCTAGGTAAGCTACAGCTTAGGGCCTCCCAATCTACAGGGGTCTCAGACAATTGGTATTTGAAAAATAAAAATGTTTTAAGTTGCAACTTAGAACCGTACAGAGGACTATGTGATGTGTATAATTTTGCAAACAATTAAAAAAAAAACAATTATTTCTTTTGAATAAATTACGACAGTATATTGCCATTATCCATATATTTATAAGGTAGCCAGCGTGATGCTGACCACATCACCCATGGCTACCGACTGGTCTATAAAATTTAGGTCTAGCCATATATGCGTAATTTGTCTGAGGGCTTTGAAAAACATGCAACTGAAAGGCGTATATGGGCGTAGTGTTGTGAGCCTGAAGGTTTAAAACCATATGGCTAGCGCTGCCGTCACGAACTGTGCAGACTAGTGACTTTTTTTTTTTTAAAACATCTAAAAAAAACTGCATGCCTTGTCGCAAATCGAACACGGGTCTCCCTTATGAGACCTATCATACTAACCACTTGGCCATTAGTTCATTGTAATGCAAAGCTAATCAGTCCCTGAAATCATGAATACAGTTCATCTCAGTCATCACCATCATCATCATTATCATGTTCATCATTGTCATCATTGTCATCATCATCATCTTCTTTTTTTTCTTCTTCTTTTTCTTCTTCTTCTTCTTCTTCTTCTTCTTTTTCTTCTTCTTCTTCTTCTTCCTCTGCTTCTTCTTCTTCTTCTTCTTCTGCTTCTTCTTCTTCTTCTTCTTCTTCTTCTTCTTCTTCTTCTTCTTCTTCTTCTTCTTCTTCTTCTTCTTCTTCTTCTTCTTCTTCTTCTTCTTCATTTCTATTTTACCGCTTTAAAAATGGAAATATACGTTTCTGTTTCTTGTTCTTTTAACCGCCTCAACCATAGACTCATCCAACTGTTGTAGAGTTTATCTGATGTTATCTTTCCATTTTGTTCTCGGTCTACCTTGTCCTATCTGTCCCTCTCTTCTTCTGTTGCATGACTTTTATAGTATGCCGTCACAAGACATTCTAATTGGACAAATCATTTGATTCGCTGTCTGTGTATCTAGTTAATTTACCATTGGTAATGTACTGACTTTTTTCTCTTATGACCTCAGTCCTAATCTTATCTTTTCGAGTCACTCCCGTAGCCCTTCTCGAACATCTCATTTCCATCGTTCATTATTCTCTTTTCTGGATTGTAGTGAGTGGCCATCTGACACTGGTGGAGAAGTCTGGAATGAATATGCTTTCTGTGTGATGTTTCTTTGTGCTGTTCGGGATTGTCTTAAAAAGAGGGTTAGCTGTCCCAATACTTGGTTTTCTTTCTATCTATTGACATGACTTCTGTCTTTTCAGTGTTGATTGTCATATTATTTGTTTTACATTCTACATTCATGGATGGAAATGTTTCTGTATTTTCATGGCTGTATCTGCTATCAAGGCCTGGTCATCAGCATAGTTTTTAATAACTAACCATAAATTGCAGAACGGAGATACAATTCTTTCAGCACAATATCACATCTATAAATACTGCAGTGATGGTTCCAGTCAAACAGATGTCCTCGCCAAAGAGCGAATGACCTACCTTTTCCATGCTGTACTCCAAGTCAAACAGATGTCCACGCCAGTGAGCGAATGACCTACCTTTTCCATGCTGTACTTTAAGTCAAACAGATGTCCACGCCAAAGAGCGAATGACCTACCTTTTCCATGCTGTCTCCAAGTCAAACAGATGTCCTCGCCAGTGAACGAATGACCTACCTTCTCCATGCTGTACTCCAAGTCAAACAGATGTCCTCGCCAAAGAGCGAATGACCTACCTTTTCCATGCTGTACTCCAAGTCAAACAGATGTCCTAGCCAAAGAGCGAATGACCTACCTTTTCCATGCTGTACTCCAAGTCAAACAGATGTCCTCGCCAAAGAGCGAATGGCCTACCTTCTTCCATGCTGTACTCCAAGTCAAACAGATGTCCTCGCCAAAGAGCGAATGACCTACCTTCTTCATGCTGTACTCCAAGTCAAACAGATGTCCTCGCCAAAGAGCGAATGGCCTACCTTCTTCCATGCTGTACTCCAAGTCAAACAGATGTCCTCGCCAAAGAGCGAATGACCTACCTTCTTCATGCTGTACTCCAAGTCAAACAGATGTCCTCGCCAAGGAGTGAATGACCTACCTTCTTCATGCTGTACTCCAAGTCAAACAGATGTCCTCGCCAAAGAGCGAATGACCTACCTTTTCCATGCTGTACTCCAAGTCAAACAGATGTCCTCGCCAAAGAGCGAATGACCTACCTTCTTCATGCTGTACTCCAAGTCAAACAGATGTCCTCGCCAAAGAGCGAATGACATACCTTCTCCATGCTGTACTCCAAGTCAAACAGATGTCCTCGCCAAAGAGCGAATGGCCTACCTTCTTCCATGCTGTACTCCAAGTCAAACAGATGTCCTCGCCAAAGAGCGAATGGCCTACCTTCTTCCATGCTGTACTCCAAGTCAAACAGATGTCCTCGCCAAAGAGCGAATGACCTACCTTCTTCATGCTGTACTCCAAGTCAAACAGATGTCCTCGCCAAAGAGCGAATGACCTACCTTTTCCATGCTGTACTCCAAGTCCGAGGCGCACTGTTGTCCCGCCAGTACAAGATCCCGGCTGTTGTCGAACATGTTGAGATCGTGCAGATAAAGTCCCGCCTTCAGCATGTCATCGAGGTTTCCTAAACTGCAAATGAACATAGAGTCAAAAATATGGAAAACTGCAGTAGGGTTTATACTAAACTCGGTTCTTTATTAATATACTACCCCAGATGACGTCACAAAACAGTCCAACATTTTAGAGGGTGGTAAGACTGGGTTTCCCGGCTTTCTAATGCTTTTAACGACACTAAAACATCTAGAACTGGCCCTAACCCCAACCCACCTACGTCCCACCACTGCACGCGGCCTTTCTACCATCTCCAGAAATATTAGACTGTCCCGTGATCTGTGGATTACCCATGTTTGGGGTTGGATATTATTAAAGCACTCTGAACTCTAGCGAAGTGGTCATCAGTTTCTCTCGCGATCTGAAGGTCACGGCTTCGTTTCACGGCTGCGTCGTTTGGTTCACGAGTGCGATTGTTACGGAGACCTATACGGGTTGTTGGTGGAACTACGGTGTGCGTGCTTTGTGCGATGCTTTCGGCAGGTGGCCAGCTTTTCTGCGAAGAGAGACCAAGCTATTTAAGATTAAACCCAGTGCAGTGAAGTAGATTCTCTCGACTTTAACCTTCAACCTTTTTAAATGAATACACAGGACAAGACTTGGGTTACGGTCTTATGCCAACTTTCTCTCTAATGCTGGTATTCGTAACCCTGTCTCTTCTTGTTTTGCAAGTGACTTTTCGGAGAAAGTGAATTCCCATGCAGTCTCTCTCTCTCTCTCTCTCTCTCTCTCTCTCTCTCTCTCTCTCTCTCTCTCTCTCTCTCTCTCTCTCTCTATCTATCTATCCATCTATCCATCTATCCTATCTATCTATCTATCTATCTATCTATCTATCTATCTATCTATCTATCTATCTATCTATCTATCTATCTATCTATCTATCTATCTATCTATCTATCTATCTATCTATCTATCTATCTATCTATCTATCTATATATCTATCTATCTATCTATCTATCTATCTATCTATCTATCTATCTATCTATCTATCCATCCATCCATCCATCCATCCATCCATCCATCCATCCATCCATCCATCCATCCATCCATCCATCCATCCATCCATCCATCCATCCATCCATCCATCCATCCATCCATCCATCCATCCATCCATCCATCCATCCATCCATCCATCCATCCATCCATCCATCCATCCATCCATCCATCCATCCATCCATCCATCCATCCATCCATCCATCCATCCATCCATCCATCCATCCATCCATCCATCCATCCATCCATCCATCCATCCATCCATCCATCCATCCATCCATCCATCCATCCATCCATCCATCCATCTATCTATCTATCTATCTATCTATCTATCTATCTATCTATCTATCTATCTATCTATCTATCTATCTATCTATCTATCTATCTATCTATCTATCTATCTATCTATCTATCTATCTATCTATCTATCTATCTATCTATCTATCTAACTCTCCCTCTTTCTCTCCCTCTATATTTTTTGTTGTACCCCACCAGGACATCACACAAGCGATAAACACCCGGTGACACAACGTGAAACCATGCGGATGAGGATCACCCATGGAAAGGTCCCAGAAACTCCTTTCAGCCGTTAGGCCATATTTATGGCCCGGCTATATTCAAGGCCCCCGCAAAAGTCCGGGTGGGGCTTCAAATAAAGAAAAATTACATCCAACATGTGGACGACTGACTGTATGTTATTTTCTTTTCTAGTGCCCTATTCCTTGTCCTGGTACGTGCGGCTGCAAACAACTACCGATGTGATATTTGACCAAACCACCCACCGAAGACTGACTAGTCTATACAGAATACGAGCCAGCCCAGGACTATATGTCGAATAAAATTTTTATACTTTTTATTTTATATTCTAGAGATATTCTATAGACGAGAGATAAGAATACTGTGGGGGAATAAAAGTAATAAAGAAATATTGAAAGAAGTACCATCCTGAGATTTATAAATATTAATCTGGACGATACGCCATAAAGGCGGACTCCAGATACCCTGTTCAACCTAAAGAGAAGTTATATTTAGGACGCCTGTAACAGTTACCCAAGCCCAGTGCAACCTGAAGCTTTATACGGGCAGGGAGAACTCACAAAGAAAACTGTTTTGTCACAGCTTTCTTTTGTCATTTTAAGTGATTATAAAAACTCGGGCACGTCATGACAACAGGACATTTGGATGGGAAGAGTAGCAAAGGGAAATCAAGAGAAAACATACTGCTGGACAGTTTGGCGTCGAGGAATGTGAAATCATTTGAAATGATTGAAAGAACACGAGTCAAAAAAAAAAGAAAAAGAAAGAAAGAAAGAAAGAAAGAAAGAAAGAAAGAAAGAAAGAAAGAAAGAAAGAAAGAAAGAAAGAAAGAAAGAAAGAAAGAAAGAAAGAAAGAAAGAAAGAAAGAAAGAAAGAAAGAAAGAAAGAAAGAAAGAAAGAAAGAAAGAAAACTACACTTACGATAATCTCGGTCGCCCATTTTATTATCTTTTTCAAAGAAAAAGAAAGAAAGAAAGAAAGAAAGAAAGAAAGAAAGAAAGAAAGAAAGAAAGAAATAGAAAGGAAAAAAAACTGCCCCTACGATAATCACGGTCGCAAAATATTATTGTCTTGTGTTCAAAGAAAAGGAAAGAAGGAAAGAAAAATATAATAGGAAAGAAGCGAAATAAGAAAAAAAGAAAAAAAGAAAGAAAAAAAGAAAGAAAGAAAGAAAGAAAGAAAAGTATGAAAGAAAAAAGAAAGACAGAAAGAAAAAAGAAAGACAGAAAGAAAGAAAGACAAAGAAAGAAAGAAAGAAAGAAAGAAAGAAAGAAAGAAAGAAAGAAAGAAAGAAAGAAAGAAAGAAAGAAAGAAAGAAAGAAAGAAAGAAAGAAAGAAAGAAAGAAAGAAAGAAAGAAAGAAAGAAAGAAAGAAAGAAAGAAAGAAAGAAAGAAAGAAAGAAAGAAAGAAAGAAAGAAAGAAAGAAAGAAAGAAAGAAAGAAAGAAAGAAAGAAAGAAAGAAAGAAAGAAAGAAACTTCCCTTACGCTAACTCTGGTCGTCCATGTCATCGTCTCCTTCCAGACTTTATGACCTGACAGAGCTGGCGTGCCACCGGACCATTAGTCGCACGTCGAGAAGCATAATCTAGACTGGCACACAAAGTGGGCAGTAAAGTGCAGTTCTGGTTTGTCACAGGGTGTTGTTGTTTTGTACGCAAGCGAACATTCCGTTGAAATCAATATATTGTTTAAATGTCTCGCATGTACGCTTAGTTAAAATTAGTCTCGTGTCTTTTATAAGACGTTGTAAAACAAAACCCATAATTTTTTTTAATGTTATGGGTTTTCTAGGAAAATTTCACTTTCAGTAGTTTGCCATTGCTTTACAAACGGTTAGCTCTTGGAACCAGTGTCAATACCAGCGCAAGACAAATCGACCGCAGATGGAATCGAACTCGGCACACAGGCATTACGAAACGCGTTTGCAACGCCTAAGCTAAAGACGCCGATATCTTTGCATATTGTAGGTATTATATATATTTTTATGTGGGGTGTGTCGGTTCTGTGGCTAACTCGATGCGAACGCTTCGTAATGCCGGGATGCCGGGTTCGATCCCAGCTGCGGGCCATGCGCCTTGCGTTAGTTTCGACAGTGGTATCAAGAAAGCCGACCGTCCAGGAAGCAATGGCAAACTACTGGACATAAATTTGACTAGAAAAACCCCACAACAGCTAGGGGCTTTTGATGTTGGTTCTGCAACGTCCTGTAAAGGATACGCAACTAACCTTTATGTGGGGTGTAATGGCTGTGTGGAAACCAAGGCGAAACTACTCTATTTTATTATCTTAAAGAAACTTGTGAGTAATGTCACAAAGGGAACTCAAAGATCTGACTGCGAGGATACCAGGCCACGCAAATCAGAAACTGAAATACTTTTGCCATATCAAAACCCACCGTGGTTTTGAAAGAACAGTAGTGGAGGGCGTGGAACCGGGTAAGAGAAGAGGCCGGGGTCGACCAGTATGAAGATGGGCAGGGACACTGAACACATTGGGCAGGAAAGTCCAGGAGGCGGGAGATCTGATGATAGCCTGAGTTTGTTTCAGGCGAGATGTGATGGGAGCAACGTTCTGTAAACTATCTGCTTCATGATGATATAGTTTGTAGTGTAAAATGTGTGTGCACTGTGTGGTGTTTGTATTTAGGGTATAGTATACGCAAGTAAAAAGGATGCTTGAAAATGTGTGAGTGAGTATGTGTGTGTGGGGGGGGGGGTGGTGGGAGTGGTGTGGAACCTCAAACAAAAGCAATTTAATCCGTTCAAGGACTGAGCTTGTATGGTTAATAATTCGTATCATAAAACTATTTTCTCATTAAAATTGATATAAATAATAATGTAATTATTGCTGCTCAATGTCACATCTTGGATTTCGCCCTTATTCTGGAGCCTAAAAAATGGCGAGCCTAACCTCGTAACTTAGAGAACTCGTACGCAGGTACATTCATATTCTTGGAACGTGGAAAAAGAAAACAAAAATGTCAAGCTTTGTCCTCTTTCCGCAGTTCGAAGGCCTGCTTTATTGAGGACGGTTTCTTTGCTATCTGAGTTTGGTATGTTTCTTTGTGGCGATCATTTTCACCAAATTTGATTTTTTTGCTACTGCATCATGTCTGCGTGGTCAGGCTTGGCGGTTTTTTTTGGGGGGGGATCTGGCAGCCCTAAAAAGGCCAATTTTGCATGGGGCGGCTTGGAACGGGAATGGGGGGGGGGGGTCTCATCGTAGCTGGCTTCTGCTATCAGTTCTGGCGAACGTTTGGTGAGCTGTCTGAAAAGATGGCGGCGTAGTTAATGGGCTCTCTTTAGTGGCTGAGCGGTCTGTTTCTGCTGCTTTCTGGGCTGGATTCATATTCTTTGGTTCGTTCCATATATATGCAGCCCGGTGGCCAACGCCGGCTGAATAATTGTTATTAGGCTGCAAACAGTAGAAAATCTGGCAAACTGGGGATCAGAAGTTGATAAAAAACCGATGCACCCAGAAATCAATCTATTTGGTTTTCCGGATTCTGGCCCCACAGTCGCTCCGTTTACATACATATATATATATATATGTGTGTGTGTGTGTGTGTGTGTATGTGTATGTGTGTGTGTGTGTGTGTGTGTGTGTGTGTGTGTGTGGTCGGGGAAGGGGGTGCATACAGAAAATGGAAAAACTTACAGTGGTGTACACAGAAAATGGAAAAACTTACAGTGGTGTACACAGAAAATGGAAAAACTTACAGTGGTGTACACAGAAACGCCATGGCATCCCAGTCCTTAATGTATTTCATTTGTCCCCGAAGGAGCAGACGTTTAGTGTTCACACCCCTCTCTTCTCCAAACCTGCTGCCTTGAAATACATGTGGAAAATAAGAATGACTGTAGTCAAACTTTTTCAAGAAGTAATTAACCCAACACATTGTCTCGAAAGCTAAACAGTATTAAAAGTCTTTCAGTCCCAAGCAACTTACCATGTTTACTGGATACTACTACTCGTGTGCATCAGTCAGCACATTTTGTATATTTGTACATCTGAAGTTTAGTTAGGCAAACTAAAATATTCCAATAACACAAGTCACCCACAATGAGCCCTTTTGGTGAGAGAGATCTAGCCATATACGAGCAGTGATGTCGATACTCTTGAACCAATACACATCAAGACTGAAGTGAAAGGGGTATTTGACAAGGAAATACAAAACAGTGTGCAGCGCAAAACAGCCACCCTCAGTCTACTTGATGATCAATACCCACATAATCTTTGGGTCCGTGTTTACACAGATGGGTCAGCAGAAAGCGCAGTCAGAAACGGAGGTGCAGGAGTGTACATTGAGTATCCTAATAATACCAGGGATACAGCCAAAATACCAACAGGAAAGCACTGTCACAACTATGATGCAGAAGTTCAAGTCATCAAGATAGCGGCAGAGAAACTACTAAATACAGGATATTTTTCACAACCAGTAGTATTCCTGACTGATGCAAAAGCGGTACTTCAGTGACTCCAGTCTGGAAAATTACCAAGCATACGGACACTATTATCCGAACTAGGCAACCGTTGTAATTTAGTAATGCAGTGGATACCTTCCCACTGTTTAGTTCCCGGAAACGAAAGAGCTGATAAACTGGCTAAGGAAGGTGCAACTGAAGAAAAACCTGACATACCAGTCTCTTATCATCAGAAAAAGAGAATGATTAAATCAATCAGAATGCCACCGAAACTGGCACAAGACGATTACCATATTATGGACAGACCAGAGCAAGTCATTATCCTTCGCCTTAGAACAGGGCACAATCGACTTCGCTCCCACATGTACAACAAATTTAAGATTGGCCAATCAGCCATGTGTACTTGTGGACTGGCACCTGAGACAACAGATCACATTCTTCAAGACTGTCCCAGTTTCAGCGCTTTCAGGCAAAACCTTTGGCCAAAAGAGACACTTGTGGAAGTCAAACTTTACGGGCCGCTTAGCGAATTACAAAAGACAGTGAAATTCATACTAGAGACAGCATTGCAGATATAGATAATTTATTTCATGCGAACGAAAGAAGAAAAAGAAGATACTCTTGAATTTGACTTTTTTTCGTGTTTGTCTCTTAAGTTTGTCGGACTTTTCCTGCAATGTCTGCTTTACTTCTTTGTTTATGTGGAACAAATTTCTTTCTTTCTTTCGTTCTTTCTTTCTTTCTTTATCTTTATACCACTCTTTCTCTTTCTTTCCTTCCTTCTTTCCCTAATTTCTTTCTTTGTTTCTTTTCTTTCTTTTTTTTTCTCTTTTTCTTTATATCATTCTTTCTATTTCTTTTTTTCCGTCCTTTTTTCCTTCATTTCTTTAGAACTTTCTCTTTTTTCTTTCTATGTTTTCTTTAGTTTTTCGCTGTTTTATTCTATCATTCTATCTCCTCATTCTTTCCTTCATTTCTTTCTTTTTCTTCTTATTTTCATTCATTCTTTCTTTCTTTCTTTCTTTCTTTCTTTCTTTCTTTCTTTCTTTCTTTCTTTCTTTCTTTCTTTCTTTCTTTCTTTCTTTCTTTCTTTCTTTCTTTCTTTCTTTCTTTCTTTCTTTCTTTCTTTCTTTCTTTCTTTCTTTCTTTTCTTTCTTTCTTTCTTTCCTTCCTTTCTTCTACTTTCTTTTCATTTTACCTTTCTACCTTCGTTTCTTTCCTTCATTGCTTTTTTCTTGGTTTCCTTCCTTTTTCGCTTTCCTTCCTTTCTTCCTTCCTTCCAACCGCCATCCTTTCCTTTCTTCTTTCCTTTCTTCTGTATTTCTTTCTTTCTTTCTTTCTTTCTTTCTTTCTTTCTTTCTTTCCTTCTTTCTTTCTTTTTTTTCTTTCTTTCTTTCTTTCTTTCTTTCTTTCTTTCTTTCTTTCTTTCTTTCTTTCTTTCTTTCTTTCTTTCTTTCTTTCTTTCTTTCTTTCTTTCTTTCTTTCTTTCTTTCTTTCTTTCTTTCTTTCTTTCTTTCTTTCTTTCTTTCTTGTTCTTACCTTTCTCCCACTCTTTATTTCTTTCTTTTTTTTTGCTTTCTTGCTAATTGAATATTTTAAATCTGCCTTGAGTTCCCTACGCAAAGTTTGTGTGTGTGTGTTTTTTGGGGGGGAGGAGGAGGTCAACTTGAAGTACCTTTATTTAATATTCCCAGGAAAATATTTGTTAGCTTTCATAAATGGACGAACACACAGTATGTTAATAAAGGGGGAAAAAGGGCATTATACATACACAAATAAGTATTTGCATACACAAGTTTTTACAGTCCTCATCAGAAGAAGAAAAATGGGGGGGGGGGGAAGAAACTGAGCTTGGCTGCCAGGTCGACCCAGAAAATTCTAAGGGAAGTAAAGCTGCTCGCGTAATAATACCCGTATCACTTATCAAGTATTTACTGGATTTAAAAAAAAAATTCTGATCTGTGCCCTGTCCGATGCGATAATAGCAACCATTACTTTTAAGCGAAGTCAGGAGACCAAATGGCAGTGGGTTAAGGAAGCAAACCTTCAGAAAAGAGCTTTCCGAACTGTGTCGCAACACATTATTTTGTCGGCAGCGGTGTGCAGGTGAGCTGCGCAAAACTGCTATTCCACTGGCAAGACATCAACGTGGCTGCATCTGGAAACGTCAGTTTAGTGCTGTTGTGTATTCGCGTGGTTTTGTTTTGATTTATGTATGTGCTGATGAAGGCTCTATAGCCGCAAAGTTCACATTTTGTTTGTGTTCGCTGTACTGTGAAGCTCACTGATATACTTTTCGTTCGGTTTTTTTTCCTGTCTGTATTTAGATAGAATTGCGTTACTGTTGAGAAATTATATTTGTCGAAAAAGTGTTTCACCAATATAAATGAACAGTTTGCAAAGCTCTGCTTTAAAACATTTATTGTTGAACAACTTTAATCTTACTTTTTAAGGTGGCGCTGCTCCCATCTCTATGACGACCGATTGCTTCTTTTCTCCACTCAACCTCGAATATCACTTTCTGAAGGCACATCGTCTGCAATAGATGGCGGGGTAATCATGTCTATTCTTTTTTTGTACATTACTGCAGTCTTTCTTCTTTCTTTTTTTGTTTTTTGTTTTGTTTACTGATTCTTTCTTTGTTTCTGTTTTTCTTTCTTTCTTTCTTTCTTTCTTTCTTTCTTTCTTTCTTTCTTTCTTTCTTTCTTTCTTTCTTTCTTTCTTTCTTTCTTTCTTTCTTTCTTTCTTTCTTTCTTTCTTTCTTTCTTTCTTTCTTTCTTTCTTTCTTTCTTTTCTTTCTTTCTTTCTTTTTTCTTCTCTTTCTGTTTTTTCTTTCTGTCTTTCTTTCTTTCTTTCTTTCTTTCTTTCTGTCTTTCTTTCTTTCTTTCTTTCTTTTCTTTTCTTTCTTTCTTTCTTTTTCTTTCTTTCTTTCTTCTTTCTTTCTTTCTTTCTTTCTTTCTTTCTTTCTTTCTTTCTTTCTTTCTTTCTTTCTTTCTTTCTTTCTTTCTTTCTTTCTTTCTATCTTTCTTTCTTTCTATCTTTCTGTCTTTCTATCTTTCTGTCTTTCTATCTTTCTTTCTTTCTTTCTTTCTGTCTCTTTCTTTTCTTTCTTCTTTCTTTCTTTCTCTTTCTTTCTTTCTTTCTTTCTTTCTTTCTTTCTTTCTTTCTTTCTTCTTTATTTCTTTCTTTCTTTCTTTTTTTCTTTCTTTCTTTCTTTCTTTCTTTCTTTCTTTCTTTCTTTTTCTTTCTTTCTTTCTTTCTTTCTTTCATTCTGTCTGTCTTTTCTGTCTTTTTTGTCTTTCTTTTTCTTTTGTCTTTCTTTCTTTCTTTCTTCTTTCTTTCTTTCTTTTCTTTCTTTCTTTCTTCTTTCTTTCTTTTTTCTTCTTTCTTTCTTTCTTTCTTTTTTCTTTCTTTTTTTCTTTTCTTTCTTTCTTTCTTTCTTTCTTTCTTTTCTTTTCTTTCTTCTTTCTTTCTCTTCTTTCTTTCTTTTCTGTCTTTTCTTTCTTTCTTCTTTCTTTCTTTTTTCTTTTTTTCTTTTCTTTCTTTCTTTCTTTCTTTCTTTTCTTTCTTTCTTATCGTTTCTTTCGTTCTTTTTCTTTCTTTCTTTCCTTTCTTTCTTTCTTTCTTTCTTTCTTTCTTTCTTTCTTTCTTTCTTTTCTTTCTTTCTTCTTTCTTTCTTTCTTTTTCTGTCTTCTTTCTTCTCTTTCTTCTTTCTTTTTCTTTCTTCTTTTTTCTTTCTTTCTTTCTTTTTCTTTCTTTCTTTCTTTCTTTCTTTCTTTCTTTCTTCTTTCTTTCTTCTTTCTTTCTTTCTCTTTTTTCTCTCTTTCTTTTTGGTTTTTTCTTTCTTTCTTTCTTTCTTTCTTTCTTCTTTTTTCTTTCTTTCTTTCTTTCTTCTCTTTCTTCTTTTCTTTCTTTTTCTTTCTTTCTTTCTTTCTTTCTTTCTTTCTTTCTTTCTTTCTTCTTTCTTTTTTTTTCTTCCTTCTATCTTTTAAAAACAACTTTAGCAGCATAGTGAATCAGTGATTACAATCGGAATATTTCTAACATCTTACAGCCTAATTTCCACTAACTGTCGCATTTAAAAAAAACTCTTTTCGTACAGTTAGCGGCCTGTAAACAGCAAGGACATGTTCCGATAAATGAAGATAATTGTCAGACAAAAAAAGGTTGGATTTTGTCTCCACAACTGAGTTTGTCTGCCATACAACGATTGTCAGACATAAAATGTTGGCTGTTGTCTCCACAATTAGGGTTGACTGCCATAAAATGATTGTCAAACATAAAAGGTTGGGTGTCGTCTCCACAGTAAATTTTGACTACCATACACCCACTACTGGTTCTAGAAATATTACGGGGTAAAATTCCTGTCACTTTCCCAATGAGTTACTTGTACAAGGGCCCTTTCCCACACCCTCGGAAGTAGTTATATTTTATAGACAAATCGGCACTGGGTGGGTGATGTGTTCAAATCACGCGGGCCGCCTTTACTTCCCATGACTTTTTCTGATACCCATTTAAGGCTGTGAGACCTGCAAGTCAAGGTCAGTTTTGAAAAAATAAAAAAGTCCTCCTCGGTCAGGAACTAAACAAATGACCTTTTGATATGCAGTCGAGCACCTAGCAGCAACACCACAGATGGTGACTCCCACTTGTATCTTTGTCCAAAGGAAGCCAAACAGTTTTGGTTTTTCATAGGCAATTCGCTCCTGAAACTGAACCCAAAGGTGTCAAAGATTGTGATATTGTGAAAAGTAATAAGTTAACCGCTGCACTGCAGAGTCGTACTGTCAGTTATAAACATAAGAAACAAATTCGAACGCAGCTGGATTGTTTTCTCCTAAACTGACTCTGGTTTACAGGTTGACCCAGCCTTAAATGGTTACCGTGTAAAGTCTTGGGAAGTAGACATCGAGCATGAAGTTGACCACATCAGCCACCTAGTGCCGACTGGGCCAGAAACTGGTCCCTTAGATGTAGGTGTGGCACTATTAGCCCTTATACGTGAAAAAGTGGCCTTTACTGAGTTTAGTGCTGGGTGCAGCACTGTGAGCTGTATTTTGTTCATATGAAATGCCTTTCATTTGTGCAGCGGTTGTGTCGTGGTATTCAATATAGCCGGTAGACGGTTTATGTTTGACCTGGTGGAATACCTTATGTAATAATTTTACTCCTGTATAGTAACCAACTTTTTATGCCCGACTACTTCCATCAATGACAAGCTGCATTTCTGGTAGCGACTGTTGGCTTTGGTGCCTCTAGCAACTGCCATATGTATTTACTGCATGAGCATATTTCTGGATTGGTCCGGGACTGATTGTTTGTTCACCAGTTTTTCAAATGGGGCAGTAAGGGACATTTTATTTGATTTTCAATGGCACAGGAACAGAGCAAGTATGGGGAAATCTGATTACAGTGAAGTTTAAATCTCGAGTAAGATTAAGACTAAGACTGCTTCCTTACTTATGCTTTCATGACTGCAAGTTTACATAATGCTTCTTATCTGATGCATTTTTTATCAAGAACCAGTGGATAAGGTAGCTTGGTCATGCAACCCAAATAATTATAACCAGCATCCGGCTGAAAAATGTAACTCATCATGTACTCACATTGGTCCAAGTGAAGTCAACTAAAGGTCGTCTAAGGCTGACCATGTCTGTGACATTTGACCCTAGCAACTCTTCTGACTGCAACAGACTGGCCAGACTTCCTCCACATCCGATAATTTTCATCTTGGGGTTGAAGACGAGGCAGAACGGAAACAGCTGAAACAAGTACAATATATGTATCAATGGTTGTGTAACAAGTATAGTAGCTGTGTCATTGATTGTGTAACATGTACAATGGATGTATAAATGATTGTATAACAAGTAAAGTTGCTGCATAAATAATTGGGTAACAAGTGCAATGGATGTATCAACGATTGTGTAACAAGTACAGTGAATGTATCAATGGCTCTATTACAAGTACAATGGTAAAAATGGTTACCAAGTGGGGTGAATATATATTCCGTGTGTAACAAATACAGTGGACGTGTAAATGACTAGTCAAAAAGTATAGTGGACGTGTAAATGGCTGTGCAACAATACAGTGGCAGTGGATGTGTAAATGGCTGTGCAATAAGTATAGTGGACATGTAAATGGCTGTGCAACAAGTATAGTGGACATATAAATGACTAGTCAACAAGTACAGTAAACGTGTAAATGGCTGTGCAACAAGTACAGTGGACATGTAAATGACTAGTCAACAAGTACAGTGGATGTGTAAATGGCTGTTCAACAAGTACAGTGGACGTGTAAATGACTAATCAACAAGTACAGTGGACGTGTAAATGACTAGTCAACAAGTACAGTAGACGTGTAAATGGCTGTGCAACAAGTACAGTGGACGTGTAAATGACTAGTCAACAAGTACAGTGGACGTGTAAATGACTGTACAACAAGCACAGTGGACGTGTAAATGACTGTACAACAAGTACAGTGGACGTGTAAATGACTAGTCAACAAGTACAGTGGACGTGTAAATGACTGTACAACAAGTACAGTGGACGTGTAAATGACTAGTCAACAAGTACAGTGGACGTGTAAATGACTAGTCAACAAGTACAGTGGACGTGTAAATGACTAGTCAACAAGTACAGTGGACGTGTAAATAGCTGTACAACAAGCACAGTGGACGTGTAAATGACTGTACAACAAGTACAGTGGACGTGTAAATTACTAGTTAACAAGTACAGTGGACGTGTAAATGACTAGTCAACAAGTACAGTGGACGTGTAAATGACTAGTCAACAAGTACAGTGGACGTGTAAATGACTAGTCAACAAGTACAGTGGACGTGTAAATGACTAGTCAACAAGTACAGTGGACGTGTAAATGACTAGTCAACAAGTACAGTGGACGTGTAAATGACTAGTCAACAAGTACAGTGGACGTGTAAATGACTAGTCAACAAGTACAGTGAACGTGTAAATGGCTAGTCAACAAGTACAGTGGACGTGTAAATGACTAGTCAACAAGTTCAGTGGACGTGTAAATGACTGTGCTGCCATATCTGCACTTTTCGACTCAACAAATCCTATTTCAGGAAACAACAAATTAGTAGCCTTTTACAACATCCTTGTTTAGAGCTCCGTGAAAATGTTCTCCCCCCACCCAAAATGATGTCCTGAACCCCACAGTGGCCATGTTCAGCGAAGCTGGGAGCCGACAGAACACGACTTGGAGGACTCCCACCAGCACTCTCTCCCAATCTTCATCAGCAAGCTAACAGTTTCAGCCTACTCAGTGGTAACAAGGCATTTGTGTAGTTAAAAGTCAGTTGCGTTTTCTTTACAAGACGTTCCAGAACCACACCCATCATTCTTTGGCTGTTGTGGTTTTTCTAGGTAAATTTTAGGCTCAGTAGTTTGCCACTGCTTCATGAGCGATCAGCTGCTGGTACCACTGTCGAAACCAACGCAAGACAAATAGTCGTAGCTAGAATCGAACACGGCACCCCGGCCTTACGAAGCACGTTCGCAACGTTTAAGCCACAGAGGTCGACATTTGCGTAGTACTCACCTTAAAAAAAGTTTCACTTTTCACAGCTGGATAACTGGCGAGGTGAACTGAGCTACAGCCTTTGCCTCCAAGTGGCGTGTAAGCGCTGTTGTCGAAGTTCAGTCTAAATGTCACGTGACATCCCATGTCGCTGAGGATCTCTTCAAGCACAGTGATATCCACGTCAACCTATTAGAAATCAGTCAATCAATCAATCAGCCAATCAATTAGTCAGTCAGCCAGTCACATAGTCAGTCAATCAATCAATCAGCCAATCAATTAGTCAGTCAGCCAGTCACATATTCAGTCAATCAATCAGTCAATCAGTCAGTCAGCCAGTCACATAGCCAGTCAATCCATCAATCAGTAATTCAATATTTTAATCAGTCAATAAAACAATCAGTCAATCAATCGGTAGATCAATCAGTTAGTAAGTCAATCATCAGCCAATAAATCATTTTTTTTAAACTGACCAGGTTCCCAGCCTAACTTAGATAGCAGCTGGTCCGCATTAGTCATTTCGAAATATCGCTAATGCGGTTATAGTGTTCATCATCATCATCATTTCCTTTGCAGAGCGTCGCTCTCATCACGGTCTGCCTGAAAGAAACTCGGTTTTTCTCCAACTTTCCCGCCTCATGAACTTTCACACTCAAGGAGTCACTTATATCCTGTGCCCATCTTCGTGTCGGTCGGCCCCTGCCCCTCCTTCCTGGTACCATGCCTTCTGCCATAATTTTTCCAATCTGTCATGGCGCGAGAGATAACCAAAATATTTAAGCTTCCGAAACAGGATGTTGTTTATTAGCCAATCTTCCTTGATGCTTAGTTCTTTCAAGATGTCAGTATTTCTCCTCTTCTTTGTCCAAGATATTCTGAGAATCTTTCTATAGCATTTCAGCTCAAAAGCCCCTATTCTCTTTCTCAAGGACTGTGAGATAGTCCACGACTCGCATCTGTATGTATGTTGCTACAAGGAAGATGCACGGTCTCAAAATTCTGATTTTGATTTCCTTGCTGGTGCTTAACCATAGACTTTTTAGGCTGTTTAATCTTTGCATTGCTATGGTAATCCTTCTTTTAATTTCTGTCAAACAGTCTCCATTGCTATTTATTATAGAGCCTAGATATTCAAAGTTTGTGACATTTTCAATTTCTTCACCATTTACTGTAATTTTTGGGTGACAGCCAGTTTTATCTGTCGACATTATTTTTTGTTTTCTCTAAATTCAAGAACAGATTTTGATCTTCACTGTGCTTTTGGACAGACAATATTAAATTTTCTATTTCTTGTTTGAAAGGAGGACTGTGTCAACAGCATAGTGAAGTTCCGGAATATGGTTGCCACCAATTTTGACCGGATCCTGTCACAAGTCTGGTCATTTTTTACATTCCTTATTATATTTTCTGCGTATATATTGGTTATAGCGTTACATTGGGATTATATTTAAATTTCTCTTTTTTGTCTTTAGGAATCTGTTGTGTTTTCTAGGAAGATCGCCGGTAGTGAGCAAAATTTAGATCTTTTCTCCAGGCTGTGCCGGCGTAGTGGGTAATGAACAGGCAGACATATTGGCTGGATCTGCACCACTGGGTGGTGAATTGATACATGACAAGGCAGATGTAGTCAAAGCTCTTTGTGAACAGGTAACGGAATCAGTAGAGAAACAAGATTATTATAGCCTGGAGAGATCAATAAGGCACCTGGGTGTAACCAGAGGTTCTAGCCGGCTCACTACACTCAGAAAGGCCAGACGAACATATAAAAAGATTTTGACTGGTACCATCAGTATTTGAACTCTCCGCTGGCTGCTGAAGACGAGGACGGAGCACGCATGGAAATGCCCCGAGTGCTGTGATGTCAATTCTTGACTCAACTCAACTCCCATGCTCCTATGTCGACCCAGCTTAAAACAAGGTACTAAAAATATTTACTCTCACATACAGACTTCGACATACAACATGGATTTCAGACTTGTGAGCATATTCACCATAACTTGTTAAAGTCCAGTATGGCGGATAGGCTGGACGCCTGTTAGAATAGTCAAGTGTTATTTGCTTCGATCGTCAAGTGTTATTTGCTTCGACTCTTGGTTTGCTAACTTCGTTCAACATATAAACTAGGGACTGCGGTTTTATTACTAAATCTACCCAGCTGTGTGCTTCAGGAAACAACTCTGGCGCCCAGTGGACTAAATTGCCATCACAGCTTCATCTAAATCCTAGGGGGCTGAGCTGTCTACACGGTTTCATCTTATCCTCGAGTGACGGCCCCTGGCATTTTTCGGTATATTTATTTTCCCTGCCCCACGTGCCTCGCCATATTATTGGCTTGACATTGCCTCAAGATACGAAGATAAGTGATATTGTGTATTTGTGTAGTATTGTCTAATCTATGTATGTGCTGAAGAAGGCTCCTTTACGTTCACGTTTTGTTTGTGTTTGTTAGATTGTGAAGCTCGCTGATATACTTTCGTTGGGTTTTATATCTTTCCCAGATATTTTTGGCGAAACAATGTGATGCGCGTTTTTCGTTTGCGTCTGCAACCGTACGCTGTGGGATTTTCAGAAGATCGAGATTAACCAGCCGGCCTTCGGGCTGGCGATGTTAATGTACCTTATAACGTAATTTTGCATGCACTGAAAGCTTGTCATGACTGATTTCTTTCATTAACTTAACGACGGACTGCAGTTTAGAGAGCGGACTGTTGGTGTTGGCAACTATAGCGACTGTCTTATGCATTTAATAATTGAGTATAGTTCTGAAGTTTTTAAGGACTAACTGTCTGCTCACTAGTTGTCAAAGGAATTGTAAAGGACATTTGGGTAAGGATTGAGGTGGTGGGGGGGGGGGGGGGGGGGGAGGGGGGGGGGAGGGGGGGGGTATTTACTGACACAAAAACGTAGTAAATATTGGGTGACACATCTATTGTGAAAATATAACCTTGGCTATCGACTACTCGAGACGGCGAACGGAAAAATAGAAGTAATGTAAAGGAGGCTTTTCCTTACCTTCAGTCGTGCTGGGCATATAGGGCATGGCCTAATTTATATTCTATATACCAGTCGGCACTCGGTAAGGGATGGGTTCAACATCATGCCGCCGGCCTTGATTTCCAGTTACTAAATCTGGTACCCATGCAAGGCTAAACTGACCTGGAAGGCAATGTCATTTAAAAAAAACAACGTATGGCTCTGTTCGGATTTAGACCCACGACCTTCTGATCCACAGGCGAGCATCTATCTGATACACCATGGCGGCTCCCAGAATGAGAATGAAGAATATGTAATCTCAGTGTGTGTGTGTATGTGTGTGTGTGAGAGAGAGAGAGAGAGAGACAGACAGACTTACGTTATAAAACATCTTGGCACACTGCATCAGCTGACCCATGACGTAGTAGGTAAAACCTGTCCGCATCGATCGGTAGATGAGGACACAACCATGTACATCCTCGGACTGGACGATGAACGACGGGCTCTGTGTGTAAACAAATGCAACGGTAAGCAGCTGAAATGTTTTATGCATGGGTGGAACAGAAAGCAATTATAAACTTAGCATGCTGATGCAACAGAGAATCGCCAAACAGGCACTGGAATTAGAAACAAATGGGTTGAGGAAACGAGGACGTGGAAGGGAAACCCTGAGACGAACGTTGTTGAGAAAGGCCAATAGCGCTGGATCGAATTCCATCCATGATATGGAGAGGATTGCGCTGGGTAGAATGGAGCGGAGACCTAGACTGTGAGATAGATGTGACACATAACAGCACGATATGACGGTAACGAAGATGATGATAAGAATTTATATTATTTATAGTTAACGCTTTTCTTTCGGCCGACACATCCAACTTCTGCAGGCATTTGACTTCCGGATCAGCCTACCCGGCCACAGGGTAATCAGTAGATATAAAACGAAGTTTAAGTGCATCAGAAAACGCATGCTTAGTGAAACTGTTGAACATTAAATTGGATAAGTTTTAAAAAATACGAGGAAAAAAACAGACAAGCGTGGACAATCGTTTAAATCAACAGTTATAAGAGAAGTAGACATATATTCTTTTTTTTTATAAATTGACACCCACCCCCCCCCCCCCCCTACATCCCCTTCCTCCCCTTCCAAATCTTTTCATTGCGAAGATGATGGTGTTATGATGGGTATATGATGCGTAGAAGCGGACAGATAATCGCTAAACAGGCAATGCAACAGAAAGCAAATGGGTTTTAAAAAATAAATAGGGAAGAAGCCCAGAAGAAATCCTAACAAGAACATTGTAGAGAGAGGGCGAAGGTGTTGGGCCGGATTTCACGCTATACATCAAAAGTACTACACAACATTTAACGAAATTAAGGACTAATCTCTCGTGTAAGACTACACCAATGGCCACTCAGTAATCAATGGATGATATGTAAATAATACGACAGCCGCCTTTATTTCCCAGACCTTTAAAAGCTAGGTAGACTCGGGTATTTAAAAAAAAAATTATTATTATCTCCAGAGTGACTCAAAAATATGACTTAGCAGCCAGATTATTAGGCTGTGAATGTTAAATAAATGTTGAATGTTGAATTTGGAATCGACATCACTGCACCCAGGACACCTCCATAAGCGCCCCGTCCCCATCTTCGGCAGTAAGCGAAGATTTCCAGTTCCGATGGCACCAGTGACTGTCTGACTGTATATCCGTCTCGCCTTTCCCCTGAGTGTCGAGCGTCGGCCAAATCCCTTTCTAACTCCTTGCAGCGCCATTCTCCCCAGACTGTAATGATCTATCTGTGCCTCGGCACTGTTCACTCGCTCCGAAAGAGCCCTTGCAACATCCAGCACGTCATACAATATTTCACCACCTAGCGGTGATATCGAATGTGTCAATCTGGGAGCCTAGGTCAGTTTTGACAGAAATCCATATGGATGCGGATTTGAACCCAAAAACCTTCTGGCCGGCTGGCAGGCAGACGAGCCTCTACCAATAGGATACGGCGGCTGTTATTCAACACAGCGGTTTCTCTTTTCAAGTATTACAGTCCACGAACTTTTCCTTGCAGGTTTTAACCTTTACCCTTTAACCTTTCTGCTAATGAGCTGCTGACATAGAGGTTTGACGCTGGACTTTCACTCTGGAGGCCAGGGATCCTATGCATCGGCGACCGGATCCCCCACTGGCTCGTCAGTAGAAGACTTCGTCGCTGGTCAGGACAGTATTGTGGTCTGTCTCCTTTGATCGCATCAACACTGCAGGAGTTCTTTTCAGGGTTCTTAGTGGTGTGCAATGATGCTAAGCTACTTTATATGGTGCACACAACCTAGTCACAATTATAACCTTAAGCTCCCTCTTCGGGGGTTATTTTCTTTCTAACGCAAAATCAACTCCCAGCCTGCACATTTTCGACAAGCTGTAAAATTTCAACCCCCCCCCCCACCCTTTCCCTCTTTTTTTTTGTACACACACACGCGCGCGCGCGCACACACACACAGACACACGCACACACAAAGGCGTCAGCACTGCCTACTGTCATAAAACGAGACCTGATGTTGACTGTCTTTATGTCCATGTCCGACCACTTTCAACCTGCTGCCAGCAGCGAAGCCGCCAGTAGCATTCAGTTATATTTTTGGCCTGGTTTATTCATGACAATTGTATTTAACGAGACCTGGTTATGAGTGCTAAGTTTATGGTTTTAATGGACTATACAGATAATGCGGGGATAAAAGTACCTGCATTTTTGGATGGGAGAATCTGATTGTCTCATGCACGTTATCGATTTCATTCAGGAAGTCTCTGTAGTATCTGCCTGTTAATCTGAAGAAAAAATGAACCGAAACAGATTAATACAATCTAGCGATGTCTAAGTAAAGTAGGTAAGTAAAGGGATCTTTAAAGACATTTTGACATAACAGGCATGTAGTGAAGGGCCATTTTCATATGCATATTGGGCACATCATAGGGCTAGATTTTTTGGGGATAGATAAATCGGGACTTGATGAGTAATAGAGTCAGCATCCAATCGGTCTCCTTTACTTTCCAGGACTTTTACCGGGTACCCATTTAAGGCTGGGTCAACCTGGGAGACAAGGTCCGGATTTGAACCCGCGACCTTAGAATCCGCATACGAGCGCCTAGCCGCTACACTACGGGAGCTCTCACGGGCATTTATATGCTAAACCTATATTTTATAGGCCATCGGCACTTGATGGGTAATGTCGTCATGCCGGCTGCCTTTACTTCTCAGGATATTCCCTGGTACCCATTGTAGTCTGTGTCGTCAAGGGGGCTAAGGTAGATTTCGAAGGAGAAAATCTGCTTGGATGTATGCTTGAATACCCGACCTTTAGACCAGGCAACTAGTCAGTTAAAAAGTAAGTGAAGGTCCCTTGTCTACGCCTTTAGGCGTATTGGGGATATATGTGGTGCCTAACCAGAGACTATTAATGCGGTTTATTCTTTGCATTGTCAAGGCCATTCTCATCTTTAGCGCTGTCAAACAGTCTCCATCACTTTTAAATAGGCAGCTTAGATACTCAAAGTGTGTGACATTTTCAATTTGACGCCTTCAATTGACGACTTGATGATATATTGTTTTGTTTTGGGTGACAACCAGTTTTGTCTGTAAACATGATTTTTTTCCCTTTAAATTCAAGAACAGGTTTTGATCTTTACTGTATTTTTGGACAGTCATGGTTGAAGTTTCTATTCCCTCTACATTGTTCGAAAGCAGGACTGTGTCATCTGCAAAGCGGAATTCCGGAATAGGGTTGCCACCAGTTATGAGCGGGTCATAAGTGTCACACGTGTGGTGATTTTTGTCATTTCTCATGATGTTTTCTGCACATATATTGAATAGGTATGGTGAGATCATGCATCCCTATTTCACCACCTTGTGCACCTCAAACCAATCCTATGGTTCACCAATGAAAACATATTGCAATGTAATTACAAAGAGAACCAACATCGTAGGGAGACAACCTAGATTATATGGTTACTTGGTGAGAAGAAGAAAAATCTAGTAGGTCGTGACAACAGAATAGCTAGAGGGGAAGAGAGACTGACGAAGACCAAGAGACAATGCTAGACAGTTTAGCAACATGGTATATAGGAACATTATACAAAAGAAATGATTGGCAGTACAAGAGACAGAAGGCTGTGGACAATTATAACTACCAATGTCCCACGGTGTTGAGTAGAAGAATAAAAATTTATGAATATTACCTAAGGATTTTGTCGTATGAAAACTTGCAACAGAAGCTCACAAAGCAGGCACCAAAATAGAGCATTGTGTCGTTCAGTTCTTGATCCTCCAGGACGGTACAGGTTGCCTTAGCCAAGTTGACCATCCATTCGTCGGGATACGTCTGGGGATCAGATCAGCAACAGATAAAACATAGAAACTGGTAAACGGAGAAAAATCACTGAATACGTTAAACAGGAACAAACAAGATTTAAACAAAGAAGACAAACAATAGAAAGCACAATTGCCCGGCCCATTTCGCTGCATCTCGTTAGGCACATACTTTGGTTTGGTTAGTTGCGTATCCTTTACAGGACGTTGCAGAACCAACCCCAGCAGCCCCTGGCTGTTGTGTGGTTTCGAACCCGGCACCCCGGCATTACGAAGCGTTGGCATCGACTTAGCCACACAGCCGACAGGTGCATACTACAGTAACAATTTAATACAATGGATCCTTTGAACTAAAATATAAAATCAGCCACATTAAAAAATAGCTGCCTGTTTTACCTGGGCAATAGCAGGTTCGCCACCATGTCCTTTTGCCCGCACCAAGCGGATTCAGATATTCATTTTATTCAGTTGTTACTATAGAATGCACAGGATGAGGTCCAGCAACATACACCAGGCAGTAACTTGTGAATTATATTATTGTGATTTCTTTTTAAAGTTTAAGACAGGGAATACTGCAAACATACTATGTTTAAAGGGTCTTTAAGTGTGAGATGAACGTCTTCACTAAACCAGGTTTTGTCGGATTTAGCTCCTTCTGGCTTCGCTGAGCACCTGGCCTTCCACCGAGAGCACTGCATGAAGCAAGAAGCTCCATAGTTCCGTGGATGTTCCTCTGGGAATTCTAATACAATAGCTCTCGTTAAGTAATACGTAAAAATGGGTACAACAGTTGATAAGCCATAACCTTCGTAAAATAAGTTTCTATAGTCGACTTTACGTTTTTACGATTATAGTAAAAATAATGGTAATGTAAAGATCTCTTTTCATGCCTTTAGGCACATCGGGCATGTGGGAAGAGCACAACATTTTTACAGACCAATCGGCACAAGGTGGGCATTACGCCAACCGTTTTTACTTCCCAAGGACATGCATTCTGGTACCAATTTTAGGCTTAATCGCGACGCCCCATACCGTGATAAAAATTCACGCAGCTAGCAGTGGGTTTCGATCGTGGTAAGTTGGAATTACGAGTCAGACTCTCAACGCCTAAGCCACGGACGCCGCAGCACAGCAAAAATAATTGTTACAGTTTTTACCCAATCCTGATTTTAGTTTGTAGAATTGACATCTCAAGAAATTCAACAGCTACAGGTGCCAGAAACTCCGTTCAACCGTACAGACATAAAGCAGTTATATTGGAGCACCACAAACCGTTTACAAAGTAAAATTTAGTCCAGTGTGGGTGTGTGGGTTTTAAAGTTTAAGTGCCTTCTCACCTTTATCTTTCCGTTAAAATTGCCGAGATAATTGATCTTTTAAAGCATCTGTGATAATCGTACCAAGATTTTATCAGTTTTAACCCATGTTTAATTACTTCTGACAAAAGTTCCACTCGCGCCAACCAAGCACACACACATCGCCTAAACAATGGCCACACGCCACTCAAACATGGCCACACGCCACTCAAACATGGCCACAAGCCACTTAGACATGGTCACACGCCACCCTGTGGATATATAGGTCAAGACCGGTTCTTCTGATGTCATTATGTCGACTCTCTTCCCTGTTTGCCGTACTCTGCCGGTCATGAGGGAAAGTTCACACGGGTTAAGGGACTACTTAGAGAAACATTGAACGCGTTGGGTTGTACCCAACAAACTCACAGCTCCAAATACTTCTAATTCTGTTCTAGTTTTGAACTCGACTCTATATCACTCCTTTCATCTGTCCAGGATATTCTCATCATTCGCCTATAAAAACCTATCTCAGCAGCTTCCAAATAATTTTTCACTAATCTACCAACTGTCCACGTGTTCGAAACCGGGCGGCTCTCGGGGTTCATCCAGCCTCTAGATAATGGGTACCAGAGTTAACACTCTGGGGTAAATGGAGGAACGTCGCTGTAGCTACAGAGTTACGTGCGGACAGTGACACAGGCGGACAGTTTCTCATTAGCTGTCCGTACTGGTGGCAGAGCACTTATGGTTTATAACCATGTGCAGTGACGCTGGTTCACATCTCCCGACTTGTAACTGTTCACAGCTGTATGTTAAAACTGGCTCTATAAAGCTTGCAATAATTCTTTTCCTAACCTCCAATGACACGGATTTATTGCATAAAATCTTCTTCATTTTGTAAAATGCAGTTTTGGCCATTACTTCTGTTTTTCTGCTGTTCAACCGAAGATCCTTGTTTTGCTTTTCCGTTACAATTATATCTCTCATTTCTTACAGTTGTTTCATTTTCAGCGAACAAAACTATATCATCAGCAAATCGCAGGTTGTTAACAACATGCCCAGCTTCACCAACCGATATTTCTGGCCTACTTTAACTTTAGGATTTAAAAAAAACAACAACATGAGATAGGCCAAGAAAGTGTGTGTGCGTTCCGAGAGGACTGGTCACTTATAGATTTTTTTTGTTACCAAGGGCTATTCAGCCAAATGTACTCAGGGTTCAAATGTTGAGACTGGGAAACTTCACGGATCAGAGGCTCAAGCATTAGCATACAAAGATCTGTATTATTAGTTAGTTAGTTAGTTAGTTACAAAAACAGCAAGTGAAATGGTTTGCTCACTTAGAGAGAATGCCTTGTGACACCATACCATACAAAGCATACATGGGAAGAGAAGAAGGACGTAGAGCACGAGGTAGACCAAGAACAAGATGGAAGGATAACATCAGAGAAACTCTACAACAGCACGATGTGCCTATGGTCGAGGCAGCCAGAAGAGCTAGAAACAGAACCTTATATCTCCCTCGACACCCACAGCGGTAAAAGAGGAAGTGAAGAAGAAGAAGAAGTCAGTCAGTCAGTCAGTCAGTCAGTCAGTCAGTCAGTCAGTCAGTCACTCAGTCAGTTAGTCAGTTAGTTATTTAGTTAGTTAGTTAGTTAGTTAGTTAGTTAGTTAGTTAGTTAGTTAGTTAGTTAGTTAGTTAGTTAGTTAGTTAGTGGGTGGGTGGGTGGGTGGGGTTGGTTAGTTGGTTGGTTGGTTGGTTGGTTGGTTGGTTGGTTGGTTGGTTGGTTGGTTGGTTGGTTGGTTGGTTAGTTGGTTGGTTGGTTGGTTAGTTAGTTAGTTAGTTAGTTAGTTAGTTAGTAAGTTAGTTAGTTAGTTAGTTAGTTAGTTAGTTAGTTAGTTAGTTAGTTAGTTAGTTAGTTAGTTAGTTAGTTAGTTAGTTAGTTAGTTAGTTAGTTAGTTAGTTAGTTAGTTAGTTAGTTAGTTAGTTAGTTGATTGGCTTGTTAGTTGGTTGGTTAGTTGGTTGGTTAGTTGGTTGGTTAGTTTGGTTAGTTGTTTGGTTAGTTAGTTGGTTGGTTAGTTACTTAGTTGGTTGGTTAGTTAGTTAGTTAGTTAGTTAGTTAGTTAGTTAGTTAGTTGGTTGGTTGGTTGGTTGTTTGGTTAGTTAGTTAGTTAGTTAGGTTATCAACATTACACTCCATGCCGATCTAAACTCCCAAATCTATCATTCTGGGGAATGATCTGGACTCACTGCCCTCAAAGTCTTTCACCCTTCTCATTTCATTTCTCGGATGGCATTAATAATATCAGCATGATCCACAGGCTGGCCGTCGGTAGTAATTGTGGGTCCCGCAAACCTATCACTCTTTTATTTCCATTGACGCTCCCGTGTCGCTACACGAAAATAAAGGTGACTGCACGCACAGTGGACTTCTGTAATGATTCGATCCATTGCCTTTGCACCGAATCTGTCTGAACCCAACAGATCATACTCAGTGAATCACCAAGTACGCATGAGCGGGTGTAGTTTTGTGTTTCGAGCCATGCGAACGCTCGCGTTACTGCCATCACCTCCAACTTCATGCTGCTGGTTGTAATTGAGAATTTCTGTAATACAACACAAATGGCAATGATTTGCGGGCCTTCTTACTAGGTCCTTACGTTGCCAGTTAAATAGCTCTGCATTTTTGTTTACTAATATAGACAACACAATAAATTACGCAAATAGACTTTTTTTTTTTTATTTTGTCAGTCCCCAAACAGAGAACATGTTTGTAGGATGGTTGCAGAGAGGTCTTGACCAATTTATATCCCGGGCACGAATACTTTTAAACGGAATTACCATACGCGATTAAAGGTGTAGAAAATATGTCTCTGAACAAAAATTAATGTCAAAATGCCTGATAGCAGAAACAATGAGAAGATAACAGGAGGCGGCTGTCATACATTATTATGAACCAGTTCAGATAGACTGTAATTAGAGAGACAAGGGGCAGTAGCAAACACATTAACTGACACCGTAAGACCTGTGGAAAAGGAGGGGGTGGGGTGGGAAGGAGGAGAAGGGGAGAAGACGAACATGGGTTAGTTCCAGACAGATTAACAAAAGAAAAGAACTGTCAATTCCAACGCTTCCCTCCGGATCACATGCCAGAGAACTAGAAAGTTCTCTGCGAACCCTTAACAGCAGTATTCTTCAATCGATGGGTTCCAACAAACTGGTGGACCCCGGAAAAGTCAACGTGAGATCCCAACTATGTCTGACTGATCATGTCACGGGGTAAGGTAGTTAGTTTCCCACTCCCCTCCATGTTTGTGGTGTGAAGGATTATCACATCGATGCTGAGAATCAAACTGGTGAAAATGTCAGAAACCCTGTTCTTCTTCTTTTTCTCCTTCTCCTCATCCTCCCCTCCTCCTCCTCTGTCTTCTTGCTCTCGTTCTTGTTCTTGTTCTTGTTCTTGTTCTTGTTCTTCTTCTTCTTCTTCTTCTTCTTCTTCTTCTTCTTCTTCTTCTTCTTCTTCTTCTTCTTGTCTCTACTCGTGCCGTCAGGGCAGGAAGAGATCTCTTGGACAGGCCCTTATGTTCGCTTTGTTTAAAGTAATTTTCAATGTCTCTGAAATTTTCGTGGAGGGAGAGGGCGGAAGGGTGTTTGGAATCAGTAAGGGAATATGCAGATGGGAGATAATGCTTGCAGATTGATTAGGAGCTGCGCGTTCTTAAAGTAAACACTTAAAATACACTCGATGGCAACACCGGTGGTATATCAGAGGCAGGGTTACCCATTGGCTCGTCGGTAGACGTCAGTATTGTGATCTGTCGCTTTTGATCGCGTCAACACTGAAGGAGTCCTTTTCAGGGCTATTTTGTGATATGCAATGCTAAGCCCTTTTATATGGCGCACATACCCTACCAACAATTATAGCTTCAAACCCCCCCCCCCCCCCCCCCCCCGCGGATGCTGGTTGAACTAGACAACGATTTTGTTTCTTTCTAGAAAAAACTGATGTTGCTGACATCGGTGGTCCTGCAATCTGATGCTCTAACTGTCGAGGATTTTCTCAGTGCCAGCTGTTCCTCCCAGTAACGCTCACCATCGCCATTGGCTGTGATTCCCATGCCATCCTACAGCATCTTCCCTATAGCATTACATTCTTGACAGACTGACAGGTGCCAGCAGCCACAGAGTGCTGACATGGCACGATAACAACAATAACAAGATAAAGAAGATGGCGTTATATTGGAACACATTCTGAGAAGAAATGAAAACAAAATGACTAAACGGGAACTAAATCAGCAAATAAAGGGACTAAGGAAGGAGAACATCCAGAAGAAACGAATGTTAATGAGAAAGGTCAAATTTTCTAGACTGGAATCCCTCTTTGACATAGAAGAGATTGTACACGATAGAACGGAATAGAGTAATAAACTGCGGGGACGATGATAATGATGATGATGATGATGATGATGGCGATGATGATGGTGGTGATGACGATGATGATAATGAGATGGCGATGATGATGATGATGACGATAATGATGATGACTATGATGATGATGATGATGATGATGATGATGATGATGATGATGATGATGACAACGATGATGACGATAATGATGACAGTGATGATGATGATGATCACAACGATGATGACGATAATGATGACAGTGATGATGATGATGATGATGATGACAACGATGATAATTTATTACTACACGACATGAAATAAACATCAAAGAAATGAGACTGTGATGAGCACTCTACCTTATGGGGTATAAAAATGACGTTTGGGATCCCCGCCTCCTGCAGAACTCGAGCCCAGAAGTTGACGCCATAATCCTGCTTTATGAAGAACTGGATGCTCTCAAACAGCATTCCATACATCCTGCCTCGAGCCCGCCGTCTGCTGGAACCGCTCGGAGTCTGCAACCGGAAATTGCGCCATTTATCAAACACAATGTTTCATATCAATAAACAATACACAATAATAATACTAATACGTCGAAGGTCGTGGGTTCAAATCTGAACGTAGCCGGACTTCTTTTTTTTAAAATGACCTTGGCTTCCAGGTTGACAGCCTTATAGGAAAGCCAGGTAAAGTCATGGGAGATAAACGCGGCCAGCGTGATGTTGATCATATCACCACTGAGTGCCAGGTGATCTATAAAATATAGGTCTAGCTGTAAATGCCAATACGCCCAAAGGGGTGGACAAGGGAACTTTACTTTATGCTCAGTACGCCGCACGGCGTGGACAAGGGAACTTTACTTTACTTTATGCTCAGTACGCCGCACGGCGTGGACAAGGGAACTTTACTTTACTTTATGCTCAGTACGCCGCACGGCGTGGACAAGGGAACTTTACTTTACTTTATGCTCAGTACGCCGCACGGCGTGGACAAGGGAACTTTACTTTACTTTATGCTCAGTACGCCGCACGGCGTGGACAAGGGAACTTTACTTTACTTTATGCTCAGTACGCCGCACGACGTGGACAAGGGAACTTTACTTTACTTTAAGCTCAGTACGCCGCACGGCGTGGACAAGGGAACTTTACTTTACTTTATGCTCAGTACGCCGCACGGCGTGGACAAGGGAACTTTACTTTACTTTATGCTCAGTACGCCGCACGGCGTGGACAAGGAAACTTTACTTTACTTTATGCTCAGTACGCCGCACAGCGTGGACAAGGGAACTTTACTTTACTTTATGCTCAGTACGCCGCACGGCGTGGACAAGGGAACTTTACTTTACTTTATGCTCAGTACGCCGCACGGCGTGGACAAGGAAACTTTACTTTACTTTATGCTCAGTACGCCGCATGGCGTGGACAAGGGAACTTTACTTTACTTTATGCTCAGTACGTAGCACGGCGTGGACATGGGAACTTTACTTTACTTTATGCTCAGTACGCCGCACGGCGTGGAAAAGGGAACTTCACTTTACTTTATGCTTAGTACACCGCACGGCGTGGACAAGGGAACTTCACTTTACTTTATGCTCAGTACGCCGCACGGCGTGGACAACGGAACTTTACTTTACTTTATGCTCAGTACGCCGCACGGCGTGGACAAGGGAACTTTACTTTACTTTATGCTCAGTACGCCGCACGGCGTGGACAAGGGAACTTTACTTTACTTTATGCTCAGTACGCCGCACGGCGTGGACAAGGGAACTTTACTTTACTTTATGCTCAGTACGCCGCACGGCGTGGACAAGTGAACTTTACTTTACTTTATGCTCAGTACGCCGCACGGCGGGGACAAGGGAACTTTACTTTACTTTATGCTCAGTACGCCGCACGGCGTGGACAAGGGAACTTTACTTCACTTTATGCTCAGTACGCCGCACGGCGTGGACAAGGGAACTTTACTTTACTTTATGCTCAGTACGCCGCACGGCGTGGACAAGGGAACTTTACTTTACTTTATGCTCAGTACGCCGCACGGCGTGGACAAGAGAACTTTACTTTACTTTATGCTCAGTACGCCGCACGGCGTGGACAAGGGAACTTTACTTTACTTTATGCTCAGTACGCCGTACGGCGTGGACAAGGGAACTTTACTTTACTTTATGCTCAGTACGCCGCACGGCGTGGACAAGGGAACTTTACTTTACTTTATGCTCAGTACGCCGCACGGCGTGGACAAGGGAACTTTACTTTACTTTATGCTCAGTACGCCAAGGAAACTTTTCTTTACTTTATGCTCAGTACGCCGCACGGCGTGGACAAGGGAACTTTACTTTACTTTATGCTCAGTACGACAAGGGAACTTTACTTTACTTTATGCTCAGTACGCCGCACGGCGTGGACAAGGGAACTTTACTTTACTTTATGCTCAGTACGCCGCACGGCGTGGACAAGGGAACTTTACTTTACTTTATGCTCAGTACGACAAGGGAACTTTACTTTACTTTATGCTCAGTACGCCGCACGGCGTGGGAAAGGGTCTTTAACTTGTTATGGATGTATTCAGAGTCGCCTAAGCATTATTAGAGAAACGTGGGACAAGTTGTGCACAATCGTTTGCTTCTACAAACATCATTAACATGAAGCAGGTTCTTTAGAAAACGTCGCTTCTTCTTCTTCTTCTTCTTTTTCTTTTTTAAATGCTTTTCAGGAAAAGGGACAACAGACTTAAAACGGGCGAATCGGGTATGGCAGAGGATGATACCAACCAGGTCTGAGTCTTACAAACATCCCTAGTGAGGTATGGATAGCAGTGCCTAAAGCGCTCGGTCTCATCTTCTCCTGTGACGCCACGCTTGATAGGAGTTGTCTGAAGCAGAATACCTTCGCTGTCAACGTCAAGGTCTGCGTGCGTATCAGTGACGTCCGATGAGACAGATGTGTTGATCTACACAGACAGGTCCGTTATAGGAAGAAACAAGAGTGCATGGACAAGTACAGCTCGCTCTGCATGTAGAACAGTGCAGGAAGCCTTCTCCATGACTACCAGCAGTAGGACGATGGAGGTGATGGCAGTGACACGAGCTTCCATGTGGCTAGAATCACACGACTGTTCCCGCGTGTGTGTTTGCTGAGTGATTCTATGAGAATGATCCGAGTGATTGCAAAACTCTCTTATCTGTACAGTTACCTTTATATTTGTCTCAGACCATACAAGTGTTGTTGGCAATGAAAGAGCTGATAGTTTAGCAAGTTCTGCATTAGTTACAGATAGCCGGCCTATGAATTACGCACACATTTCAGTGCCTTTAAGAGTGATAGGACGTTCCGAGATTTTAGAAGCAGCGTGTCCACATCACTGCTAAGAATACGAGAACTGGCAGTAAAATCTGTACAGCCAAGCATGAGAGGCACACCGGACGCACACAAACTTTTGTCAATCAGCATAAGACGTACTATTAATCACGCGACGCTGATGAAAATGTTGAAGTTGAAATCTGAGCACCTTTGGATGTGTCCGGAGTGCTGTAAATATAATCCAACTCATAACTCAAAACATGACATTACAGTGAAAACAACAACATAATGTACTGTGAAGACTGATCAACACAAACATATGCACGAAATAACTTGAGCCTTGAACTTGACAAACGAGAAGGTCAGAATCAAAATGCTACTAGATCCCTAACTTGTACTGAGATAACAGAAAATGCCCATTGTGAAATTACCGCAGATTATTTATTATTGATTAAGCGTTCAGTAAAAATGTTTTGGGTAGTTTGAATGTTGTGGCTACGGCTCGGAACATTATAGTCGGTTCCAGAATACCTATTTAACTTTAAAAATCTGTAACCGGTCAGTGTTAGTTAGTTGCGTATTCTTTACAGGACGTTGCAGAACTAACCCTAACACTAACAGCCCCTGGCTGTTGTGTGGTTTCTCTAGGCAAGTTACATCCAGTAGTTTGCCATTGCTTCCTGGACGGTCGGCTTTCTTGATACCACTGTCGAAACCAACGCAAGGCGCATTGCCCGCAGCTGGGACCGAACCTGGCATACCGGCATTACGAAGCGAAGCGTTCGCATCGACTTAGCCACAGAGCAACCGGTCAGTGTAAGTTGTTGAAATAGTAACTGAGTCATCATCATGTAGCAGGTCCTTTGCAGAACGTCGCTCTCATCCCGGTCTGCCTGAAAGAAACTCGGTCTCTCGCCAGTTCTCACACCTCATGCACTTTCATACTCAAGGAGTCACTTATATGCTGTACCCATCTTCGTGTTGGTCGCCCCTGCCCCTCCTTCCGGTACTGTGCCTTCTGCTATAATTTTTTCCAATCCGTCATGGCGCTTGATTTGACCAAAATATTTCAACTTCCGAGTGAGTACACAGACAGGGTGGGGCTTCAAAACAAAAACAAAAACTAAAAAATTGCACCCCACATGGGGGGGGGGGGGGGGGGGGGGGGGGGGGGGACATTTTAGTAAAACCCATGTAGTTTTTGAAATTTAGCATGCAACCTGTTAATAAACATGTCCTTGTAAGAATGAATGTATTTGTAAACAGTCGTCTAGTTTTCATTTTGCCTTATTTGCGGTATATGAAAAAGACACCAATTCAAGGCAAACAATCAACATAAAGTAAAGTGAAGTTTCTTTATCACTCCTTTGGCACATCGGGCATATGAGAAGAGCATTCCATATTTGCACAGACCAATCAGTACTTGGTGGGTAATGTGGTCAGCATTACGCTGGCCGTCTTTACTTCCCCAAGACATACATCCTGGTACCCACTTTAGGCTGGGTCGACCTGCAACGCCCCATACCATGATAAAAATCCACGCAGCCAGAAGTGGGTTTTGATCGCGGTTCGTTGGAATTACGAGTCGGATTCGCAACGCCTAAGCCACGGACGCCGCTAAACAATCGGCATGCTTACAATTTATTGAGTAAACTGAGTGAGCAAAACTTTTCAAAACATCAAATTGCACGTGTTTTGTGGGTATTGTACCCTCAGGTGGTCATCTCCAGCATTAATCTCCCCTGAATTGTGAATTTTTCATTGTGTGCCGGATATGCTATCAGAATAATCGCAATGCATCGCTGCACATATGAAACGATTTCCAGACAATCTTCACACACATGTGTCAATTACTGTGAATTATTTTTCAGGGGTGCACAACTTATTAGTCAAACAGATCAAAATAATTCGCCGCTTCAAGAAAGCAACAGCACGTGTGTAACTGTGAATAAAAAAAAAAAAATCATAAAACATGGGAAATCAAAGGCCATCTCCAACAATTCGTCTTAATCCGTAGAGGAGTTTTCAAGTTATTTGTTGAATGTGACGGCATCAATTTTTAAACGCACTGCAATGTCAAATTCCGGTCTAAGCATAATTAGTATGAGGCCCCTGACAAACGCACAATGTAAAGGACTTTTGACGCATCTGGCACAGACATTTAACTCGTAGTTTTT